AACAAAAAAATGTGGAGATAAAATAAAATAGTTCTAACTTGGTGACTTGTCGTAATATCAATACTATATTTTACAAGAACTAACACCCAAGGCTTCTTGAAGAAGATAGTAATTATCTTATCAATTTTAAAAACAAATTATATCATAAAATAAAACAATAAATCATATTTTAAAATCTGAAAGTAAAAATCTGAAGAATGACCATACCTACCTTTACAACATATCTACATTTTTATGCAGAAACAATAAAAAAAACGTTTAAATTTCGTGATTAAATTAAACTTTTTTATTTCACAACAGTTTTTCATAGGAAACTTTTAAACTAAAAAGTTCATAAAGTTCGATATTTTTATGTATTATATTTTTCGCATTTCGCTTTTTTATTTTTATTTATTTTAACCCACCAAAATTGTAATTAGTGCAAATAATTCTATTATATATAAACTATTATTGCGTTGCGTCAGAAGGAATATTGTGGGCGCGTCGTATTTTATACTGCATGTAACGTTTATAATGTTTATTATACCCTCGGGGGTATTTGCAAATGTATATATATTGAGTAAAGATATTCATTAAAACAGTAAGAAAAAACAAATATAGATTTATTATTACAAGCTATTTCGGCAATGAGTATCGTGATAAGGTTTGCGGATTTGGTGTCGCAGTACGATGGTTCGGGTGATATTTCAGAATGGAAGTTGGAACTGGTTGCAAAACTTCAAAGAATTGACGAGCTGCATGTAATGCTCCCCTTATTTCTTTCTGGCGGGGCGTTTGCCGTTTATCAAGGTGTTAGTGATGAGATAAAAGAAGACTACAATGAAGTGAAAACTGCACTGGCAACTGCTTTTCTGCTTCTCCGCTAACAGTATACGAAGATTTCAAAAATCGCCGTCTTAAAGAAAACGAGTCCGTTGAAGAATATCTCGCAAAATTAACAAGGCTGTGCTAGCTAATATTATCTCACGTAAGCGAAAAGTGGATAAGGTGCGTATTTATTTTTGGATTACCTGAAGAAGCAAGAAAACAGCTGCAAACTACATACTCAATATCATTAATGTCGCTCTGCCATTTTGCTGAAAAATCAAAAACTTTGGTAATCTTACGTCGCAAAGAATTGTGTTTTGTCAGTTGCGTGAATCCTGTTGCCATTCGTTCAAGACAGGTTCCTCAAGAACGCGAAAAAAAGACCATAACGTACTACCGTTTTTTTTTTTTAATTTATTTATTAAGGTACCCTATTAAATGGTCTTATCACAGGGCACTGCGGAATAACATTTATTAAAAAGTTCACGCCTCTTTCCCACCCGATGTCGCATAACTTACCCAGAGGTGAGGTTTGAACCACGGATCTTACGTTCTGAGTAAAGTGCGTTACCACTGCACGGTTACCACTGCTGCACGGCGCCACTGCGGAGAGGATACACATATCAGTCGAAACTGCAGCAAAGAAATTAAAAAGAAGAAGTGCTTTGAATGTGGAATGGATATTCACCTGGCCCAGCACTACCATAAAACGTCTACGATCTTAAAAAATATTGAAGGGAAGCCACCTGTTTTTGTGCGAGCAGCTTCCCACAAATTTAAAACCTGCGTATATGTCAATGGAAGAAAAAAAAAAGCATTGTTTGATACTGGATGCTTCAAACCAGTTTTAAGTTGGGATATTGTAAACATAAAAAATATCAAACACGTAAGAGAAAAGGTTGTTATGATGAATGGAAAGTCAATTGAAGTAAAATTCCAGACTGTTGTTGATCTTTCGATAAATAATACTACCATCGATTTGGAATGCCTGGTTACCAACATTGTTCCTGAATATAAAATGCTACTTGGTATGGACGCAATATAACTGCTCGCAGATGTCCAAGTCGGGAGAGGCGGCAAAACCATAAACTTCAATGTGAAGCAACTAACTCTCGGCACTACTGCAGTCTCTCAAGAAAAAACGAATGAAGTATCCTCGCCTACTATTCAAAAGCTGATTGACAAAGTTGGAGCGTGTCTTGAAAAATGGCTTATGGAACCACCAACTTTAACGAACAAAATTCAAACTATCATTTCTCTGAAGATGTTAAAAATGAGTACGCAGAATAGGGAGTGTACATCCTGTTTTGTTGTGTTTACAGGCCATCTGGTAATGGAATTGTTAAACTTCATCTTCGCCTAATAAAGCGTATGGCAGCCAGATGTAGCAAAGACGTTATAATAATATACCGTTAAAAACGGTATATTTGTTCCCAGAAGGAACAAATAAAAACGGTATATTTGTTCCCAGAAGGAACAAATATACCGTTTTTAACGGTATATTATTATAACGTCTTTGCTACATCTGGCTGCCATACGCTTTATTAGGCGAAGATAAAGTTTATTATTACAGCTCCCAGAAAAATAGGTGAGGAAACATTACTTCCCTATTAGTTATACTTTCCGATGAGTGGAAACCACATACGATTTCTGCCAAAACTAACAAAAAAGTTCTCCACAATTATACACAAGGAAAGGAAGTATTTGTAAAACCACCTGACTCAAATTGTACGAGCGAATGGAACAGAGGAAGAGTCTCAGATAAAGGACGAGGAGTTTCGGTAAAAATCAATGGATTGCGAAGACACATGTGTGACGTCCGTCCTGCTCCCATTGTAGATGACTTGTCTATGAGAGAATTGGAATAACTATTGTGGATAATCTGAATCTAAGAAAATCAACGCGTGTGCGAAAGTTTCCGAATAAGTATGTGGACTTTGTGATCTAGAGATCAAGGGGTGTTGTAATTAGTTTGAATAATTGTATTATACATAAATTATTATTGCGTTGGGTCAGAAGGATTCTTGTAGGCGCATATTATATTGCATATTATCTTGTATATCGTATATTATATTGTATATAATGTTTATAATTTTTATTATATTCTTGGGGGTATTTGCAAATGTTTATATATTGAGTAAAGATATTCATAAAGACAGCAAGAAAAAACAAATATAGATTTATTATTACAAATACTATTTAGTATTGTAAAAAAGTAAAGAAATAAATATAAATATTAATAAATGAAAAAAAAAATATTTTTCAAATAAATTTAATTAATTCTTTTTCTAAAGATAATAAAATAGTCTTTTTTTTTCAAACATATTAAATAGAACATAAGAAAAAAGAAGACTTTTTTATTTTGAAAATTAAATAGTAGAACCTATAAAAATAAGAATTAAATATTATGTGTTAAATTTTTTCAATTTTTTTTTTGTGAAAAAGTTAAGAACCACAAAGAATTTTTTGTGTTAAACCCAGTGAAAACGAATTTTTTAAGTTGATTTTTACCCTCTTATTTAAATATTCTATTAATGAAATGAGTAGTTGCCAAAAAACCAAAAGTAATTAAAAAAAGTATTTAATTTCAAACAAAAAAAATATTTTATTTTGAAAAAATGAGCAGAAAAACTATTACATGTGAAGATCGTATAAAAATAATGCATTTTAATCAGGAAGGTAAAATCGGTCGTGAAATTGGAAAAACAATAACACGATCATATAGTTCTGTGCTAACAATTATCAAAAGATTCAGAGAGACGAAATATTACGTTGATTGCCATCTTTCTGGAACCCAATGATGATCGCATTTTAATAAAGTAGGCAAAGAAAAATCGAACCATGCCGTCGCATAAATAAAAAAAGAGAATGTAAAGTTTCAAATGGACGTCAAGCATGTCAAGTGATGCTGACACTTAAGCGTAGAAAACTAATAGCTAAAAATATGCTACGGAAAAAAGCTGTTATAAAACCGCGACTTACCAAACAACATATAAAAAAGCTGTTATAAAACCGCGACTTACCAAACAACATATAAAAAAGCTGTTATAAAACCGCGACTTATCAAACAACATATAAAAAAGCTGTTATAAAACCGCGACTTACCAAACAACATTCAAAAAAGCTGTTATAAAACCGCGACTTACCAAACAACATATAAAAAAGCTGTTATAAAACCGTGACTTACCAAACAACATATAAAAAAGCTGTTATAAAACCGCGACTTACCAAACAACATATAAAAAAGCTGTTATAAAACCGCGACTTACCAAACAACATATAAAAAAGCGAAAATAATTTTGACAAGTGTCAAATAATAGTCAAAAGAAAAATAGTGGACAGTAATGTTCAGTGATGAGATGAATATCGAGGTTGATAACCGAAAAAACCGAATTATGATTCGCAGGCAGCCTTCAGAAAAGTATAATCTTAATTGTATCGTTCAAAGAACAAAACAAGGTAGCAGGTTGGTTGGAATATGGTGATGCATGACATATTATGGTCTTGGTATGTTTAAATTATTTGATGGTCGACTCAACTTTATTTATTTCGTCGATATTTTAAATAACAAATTGTTACCATCAATTGATGCACTTGAGCGAAGCATTCCGTTCAATTTTCAGCAAGATAATGCACCATGTCACAGTGATAAAATTGTTTCTGAATGATTCGAAAGGATAAATATTGAGCATCTAACATGGCCATTAAATAGCCCAGATCTAAACTGCATTTGAAAATTTTTGGAGTTGGCTTGATAAAAAGATTTCCAAGAAAGCACCAAGTAACCTTGAGGAGATGCGCAATATTTTACCAACAATATTTGGAAATACTCCCAAACATATTTTAGAGAATTTAATAGACTCAATACCAAATTGTATAAATGAATGCTTAAAAGTTCATGGTAAAATTACGCAATATTAAGTAAAAATTACAGTTGTTTGTTCTGTGGTTCTTAACTTTTTCACAATTTTATTTAAAATAAAAATTACCTAAAAAACTTACATTTATTTTTTGTTTGTTTGAAAGTCTTTAGAATTATTAGTATTTTTTATTTTGTTTGTCTATTTTCTAAAATTTGTTATTATTTTTTTTTTTACCAGAAAAATATATATGACTAAATAAAAGTTTAAAAATAAAAATAAATTATGATTTGTTTTTTGGTGGTTTCTTAAATTTTTCACAATACTGTATAGTTGAAGTAAAAGAGATAATTTACTATGAGTGGTATAAAAACAAGAAAAACGACAAGTACAGCGACGTCTGGTTTAATAGGTATACAATTTTTAAGAACATACTTGTTTTACTTTGAAATTATATATGATAATATTATATATTAAGTCATGAATAATTCAGTTTCTTTTAAAAAATTTAATCAACAAAAACATTGACATTGAAAACAATAATATTGACAAATACTATTTTTCCAATATTATAATCTAATATATTTAAAATTAATATTATTTTTTGTTACTAATCTTATATCTTATTATAAAAATATTGATATAATGTTAATATGTTATTATATAACAATAATAATAATAGCAATAATAGCAATAATAACAATAGTAATAAGAATAATAACAATAATAGCAACAATAATAATATGATAAAAATTTATCTTAAAGAAAAGTAAGAGACTTTATTCAATCTGAGCTACCAACTCGTTGTGCTGTCCTTTAAAAAGCTAAGCTCATTAAAGAATTGTCAGAAATGAAAATATATCGATTAGATGATTTGGTTATTAAAACAATATTGGAAGTTGTTAAACAATGGTAAAAACCAAACTCAGACTTTTCATCTCCAGTTATTTTATACAGATAAGTCCATTGACAGAAAGATCAAAATTGTTTATAATGGTTTTCAGGGTATTCGCAGAAAAAAATTAACCAAAAAAGTAGAAATTGATAAAATAATGAAGTCTATGTCATGACTGTTTGATATAACTAACAGGAAATGTGCAATTTTATTTTGTATCAAATGTGTAATCAATATTTTGTAAAATCAATAGTTTTAGAAAAAATATAGAGTTTTGGAATTCGTTAAAAAAAAATATCTGAAAAAACCTTAAAGAATAATAATTCAAATTTTTATAAAATACTCCTTAAGCAATAACTAAAAAAATGATCTCAGTAAATGATCCTTTGCAAATTCATCAGCTTATTTATACAAATTCATCAGCTCATCACCATCTTTACTTATAACTTTTTACTAGTGTTTCCCCAGTAAGCACAAAGACGTTTAAAAGACGTTTTAAAGATGTCTTAAGGGAGGTATAAAAGGCGCACTTGTAGACGTCTATATCATAAGGCTAAAAGACGTCTAAATAAAGACGTCTTTATAAAAACGCGTTTTAGACGTATTTTAGACGTTTTTTTTAAGATAAATTTAAGTACATGACGTAACATTTTCGCGTAGTGTGTGATATATATTGTTATAATTTCGTATATACAAGATATACATAGGAACCAGCAGTCTAAATAATATTGCTGTAATCACCACCAACAGTTAATAAATGAAAATAAAAAATAGTTAATAAATGAAATAATAAATAACATTAGCAAATATATATCAAAACAGTATTTAAAACATTTATAACTTAACTTTAGTTTTAATAAAATTTAACATACGTGTTACTAGCTACTTTTTGACCGCATACTTGACTTATTATATGGCTTGTGGGTGTATAAAAACTAAAAATACTGATATTTAACTTATTTATTATTCTTGCCATTTTCACTTATTATCATTTTATTTATCAGTCAACTATCTACTAAAAAAGCAAAATAATTATTAATAAAAAAAAGATTTATTAATATTATAGCAATTGTTTTAGTGATTCCTGTGACAACAATTTTAGCAATTGTGTAAAAAAGTTATTTAATTTAAAGTAATTTACACTTAAAACTTGAACAAATTATTGAAAATAATAAAAACTATGTTTTTACTTTGAATAAACGACATCTACTTAACGCGTAATGACAAAGCCGTCAAAAAGAAGTCATAATGACATATTTATAAACAGGTCTCAGAAAAGACGTCTTTTAGCCTTATGATCTAGACGTCTTTTAATGCGTCCTTTAGACTATTTATTATGCGTCTTTTAAACGTCTTTTTAAACTTTAAAAAGACGCATTTTAAACGTCATTTTAAAAACGCATTTATTAAAGACGTCTAGAAGATGTCTTAAAAAAAGATATCTTCTAGACGTTTTTTAACGTATAAATAGACGCCTTTTAAACGTCATTTTAAAAACGTCTTTATAAAAGACGTCTAGAAGATGTCTTAAAAATTGACGTCTTTTAGACGTCTTTTTATCTTTCAAAATAAAGGCTTTTAAACGTCATTTTAAAAACGCATTTATAAAAGACGTTTAAATGATGTCTTTAAAACGTCTATAAAAGTGCGTCTTTACCTAGACTAGTTTTAGACGTCTATAAGTGTCGAAAATGCGTCTTGTGCTTACTGGGTCTGATCAAAACCTTTTATTCACAACAATCATGTCTTTGTCACATTTTATATAGAAATCACTTCTAATTTGAACTGAAACAGTCACGCTGTTAAAGTCTTTTTTTTTAACTAGATTAGACAAGAAATCTAAAATTGTCTATTTTTTTTTATTCAGCACAATATTCATAAATTAATTTGATATATGATAATGTGGTTTATCCTCTAGCTAATTTCCATAGAAGCCACATTACCAAGGTCAACAAAGACTGGTTCAGCTCCGAAAGGAACGTCATAATCTACTCTACGGACCAAGAGTAAAATGAATTTGGGAAGAACGAAGAATTGTTAGAGTGAAAGACAGAAGTAGTCGAGTTAGAAAGATAGCATAGAGAAAGCAGACAGGATTGCGCACAATCTTAGAAGGTGCAATACGTACTTTAGTTAGGTCATCTAACTATTGTGTGCCGACAAAGACTTCGATGAAGTTCACTTGCTATGAACTCTTTCTTAACTTTCTCAACTTTCTTTGTTGTTTTTTTTTGTCGTATAATATATAATTTGATATACTATGCATTTTGAAGCAAATGAAAATTTAAAAAATTATGAAGCATACAGCATACATCCTTAGACCCTTTGCTACTTGTGGTTTCATCATAGCAATAAAAGTTTACGCTTTGACTAGAAAGTATGTAAAAGTTGAAAAAGTAAAATGATAAGTTTACTTCTTAGTAATTATTGTTAATTTTATTCCGTCATTTGCGTAGGAACTTCAAAGTATTTTAGATTAAAACAGTTAAATGGAATTCCTGGTTAACGGTTAACAGTTCTTTGATCTTAGATCTTATGCACACTCTCTTTTTATTCATTTAACTATTTTATATTAACTTTTTCTTTTCCAAAAGTATTTATTTATTACTATTGTAATAAATACAATTTGTTATCTGTATATTATATTTATCTGTACCATTTTTATATATTTTCATGCATTTGTATGCAGCATAATGAAAATTAATAAAAAAATATAAGATAAATACAAAAAAATATAAGATAAATACAACTTAACGCATAAAGCTTTACTTTTCCACAAGATGACGTCAATGCCCAAAATCATTTTTGCTTAACTTTTAGATAAGCGTTTAATACTATTAATAGTATTAAAGGCTTAAAAACGCTAAAAAATTAATTTTTATGATTAAGAACTAAAAGAATATATTCTTTTAGTTCTTAATCATAAAAATAATTTTTTTTTTATGACTTGTGTTTAGTGCTTTTAGATCTTCTTAATTTCATTTGCATAGCGTTACGTCTTTATGTTCGGGAGGCTGCATAAGCGCGAGTTGGCATATGTGCAAACTGGCATGAGTGCAAAGCGTAGCAAAAACTGGCATAAGTGCGAACTGGCATATGTGCGAATTGGCATAAGTACGCCAAAACATTTTGCAAACATTGGCATAAGTACTAATTGGCATAAGTGCAAACTGGCATAAATGCAAAGCAGTTGCAAAAACTGGCACAAGTGCGAACTGGCATAAGTGTGAATTGGCATAAGTGTACCGAACAAATTTGCAAACATTGGCATAAGTGCGAACTGGCATAAGTGCGAACTGGCATAAGTGCAAAGCAGTGACATAAGTGCGAACTGGCATAAGTGCGAATTGGCATAAGTGCGCCGAATAAAATTTCAAATATTGGCATAAGTGCAAACTAGTATTTCGCACTTATGCCAATTCGGACTTATGCCTATGTTTTCAAATTCATTTGTCACACTTATGCCAATTCGCAGTTATGCCAGTTTGCACTTGTGCCAGTTTTTGCAACTGATTCGCACTTATGCCAATTAGCACTTATGCCAGTTTTTTCAAAATGCTTTGGCGCACTTATGCCAATTCGCACATATGCCAGTTCGCACTTATGCCAGTTTTTGCAACGCTTCGCACTTATGCCAGTTCGCACATATGCTAACTCGCGCTTATGCCAGTTCGCGCTTACGCCATTTGGATTTATGCCAGTTTGCACTTATGAAATTCGCGCTTATTCAGTCGTCTCCTTTATGTTGAGTTTGCAGGCATTTTATGGAATAATTGCGTATATCTATAAAATGAGAAAACTTGAAAATTTTTATTTTAAATTAAAATTTTTTTTTTCTATATTCTTATTTTTTGCTATGAATATATAAGCAAGATTGAAAAAATTCAAAATTTATTACGCTAAGAGGAGGTTTTAAACTCTCCAAAACAACACTGATGATTGCGTATTTCCCACTGCACTATCAATGAAAAGCATTTTCATTGATAGTGCAGTGGGATCAGAAAAACAAACCTAATTATAAGCCTCTTATAAGCTCTACGTATGCGGAAAAGGTGCGCATGTTAAGTTTTTTGCTCTTAAATTTTTTTTTCAGAATAAATTTTTTTATTAAAAAATATTGAAGTAAATAAAGAATAGGCAAGGGTGTGGAGTCGTAAAAAAAAAGTAACGACTCCGACTCCGACTCCAGTTGTTGAAATTTGTTGAGTACAACTCCGACTCCGACTTCGACTCCAACTCCAAAGCAAAATTTTTGAAAAATTCTTTGAATTCTTTAAAAAATATTGCGCGATAAGTTAAAATTTTTTTTTTGTGAAAAAAAAAATTTATGAAACATTCTTTGAGGTTTTATATGAACATAAGGTTAATTGAATGTTTTGTACATGCACGTGCAATACCAAGACTCCGACTCCTACTCCGACTCCACTAAAATTGTCTTAACTCCGCAACTTTGACTTCGACTCCACAGCCCTGGGAATAGGTATAGAAATTTCCGCTAAAAATAGATATGTAAATTGGT